AAAATACCAAATCCCTTGCCACATAGGCATGAGACCACCATATTTCGCCACACGAGTCAGTCCTCGAATGGCAATTAACGGCAGTTAACAGTAAGTAATGGTAGTTAAGGACAGTTAAGTTGGTTGTGAAAGAAGGGTTAAATTGCTTCGATTGCAGAGTTTAGGGGCTTATATGCATCAATTAAAGTCTAGAGGCTTAATAGCAACTCTGGGGTTAGTTCAGGAGCTTAACTTATGGTTTTGCCGTTTATTTATAGGTATGCTGTTTATAGCATGGGCTGAGATGAGGGGAATACTAAGGTATTTCACTGTTCTCTGTTCTCTTCAGATATTTCCTTCTTTTTTATTCTTCTGTTTTCTTCTTTTTTTTTTTTATTTAAATGAGTAAATAAATTTAAAAAATAAAGTAAAAAATTTTCTTCTCTTTTTTCCTTTAAATTTTTTAATAATTAAATAGAGAATTTCTCTCTTCACTTTCATTTCTCTCATTTCATAACACAGTATATACTTATTTGACAATTATAACAATTGCCATTTTTTTAATTGACAATTTTGCTTTATACTTTTTAATTTTACAGCTGACATTTTTTAACACTCCACTTCATTTTTATTAATTTCAGGTCTTTTACTTCACTTCACTTCATACCTATCTAATGTAGTTAAGTTTAAATTATATAATGAACATCCAAGTGGTAATATAATATTTTAAAATAGTAGAATCAAATATTAAAATAATATAAATACCCTACAGTAATAATTTAGGTGACTTTTTTTTCTAAACACTTAAAATATAAAAACTTTACTTTCAATTAAGAAAAAAAAATCATAATTTTGAATTGTATCAATATTATTTTAGTTCAATCAAATAATTCAAATTTTATCAATTTTTTCTTATTCCTAACCGAATCTAATTGTGTTCTTAAGTGAGTGAAAAGTTAAGAAAAAAGATATGATGAAAGAATTTTCAATATTATTGTATGTTAAATTGAAAATTTCTAGATCTCTATGATGCATCAAGCTAATTAATGTGGTGCCCAATTAAGATCTCTCAAGAAAATATTAGTTTTAAAGTGCATATAAATTGCTTTAAAAACAGCTTGACATCTAAATTAACATATATATATATAGTGTGTTATGCTCATTTGACATCATTTTTTTGTTATATATTTTATTATGCTGTATTACGAATAAAGTAGAGGCAAAACACAATAATACAAAGAATAACCATAAATGGAATAAAAATTTGATATTAATGACATTGTATAAACCACATCATTTAAAATATTAAAATGTAAATTTTATATTATTTAATAATTAATTATTTTTGTTCTCTTAAGACCCATAATATAATATTCATTAATTAATTTAATAATATAATACAAATCACATCTTTAATTCTAAATTTTTGTCTTAAATTTTCATCCTTCAATCATTACTCTAGTACAAAAGGCCTTGCCCAAGAATGAATACTGGTTCCGCCCGTCCATCCATCCTTAACACCCGGTTTT